GGGTGTGGGTTCCTGGAGGGTGGGTTCTGGAGGGTGTGGGGTTCTGGAGGGTGGGTCCTGGAGGGTGGATCCTGGAGGGTGGATCCTGGAGGGTAGGTCCTGGAGGGTGTGGGGTCCTGGAGGGTGTGGGTCCTGGAGGGTGTGGGTCCTGGAGGGTGTAGGGTCCTGGAGGGTGTGGGTCCTGGAGGGTGTGGGTCCTGGAGGGTGTGGGGTCCTGGAGGGTGTGGGTCCTGGAGGGTGTGTTCTGGAGGGTGGGTCCTGGAGGGTGGGTCCTGGAGGGTGGGTCCTGGTTCTATTGCTGTGGTATAGTTACTCTGTAGATCTCTGAACTTGGTGTTTTCAGTTTCAAGACTTCAAGAAAGGTGCAAAGTTTAGACTAATAGGGTCATGAGTGATGTATGCTCAGGAGAGACCTTAGACTTGTCCCTTGTTGTCAGATGTGGGATGCCATGGCACATGTGTGGACATCAGAGAACAGTTTGCTGGGGTTGGTTCTGTCCTCTGACTGTAGGAGTGGGTATTGAATTCAGGTTATTGGGCTTGGTGGCAAGCACTTCTCCCACTGAGCCATCTCACTGGCCCCCTGCTCCTTTGTAAACACAGACCAGTTCCCAGCGGTGAAAACAACACCATGACTCTTGCTGCATTTGTGCTCTTGAGCACAGCATGCTGTTGACTCCTGACACCCCATGAACAGAGTGTGGTGTGTGCTGGACAGTGTGTATGGCCAGGGTCATGGGAGGCAGATAAGACCCATCCCTCCTCTCTGAGATTAATGATCTAGAAGCTTGTGTCAGTGCTATCCTCTCTATACTCAGTTCATGGACGATCCCTACACAGTATCATGGTCTTTCTGAAACTTATTTCAGTCTTGGAACAGTTAAAGGGTGCGGAGGCACTGTGTGTTATTTGTCAGGTGTTGATAGAAGGCGGTGAAGGGGATGGTGGTGTTGGCTGGTACCTGATGGCCTCCCACATCCTACACCAGGTGCCTCTAGACCTTATTCTGTTGACCCCTCTTATTGAGCCTGTAGGTATTATCCATAGCTAACCATGACCAAAATGAACTTGGAAAGAGCTCATCCAGGGTCACATGCCCAGCAAATGTTAGACTAGGACTTTACTTTTTGCACTTTATTTATGAAGGTGAGCTTTGGATTAGCATTAAGTGAATACTTTTCTTTCTTTTTTGAAAAAAGATTTTTTATTTTGTGTGTATGAATGTTTGCCTGTATGTGTGTATACGCATGTATGTCTAGTGTCTACAGAGGTCAGAAGAGGGCGTTGGATCTCCTGGAACTAAAGTTACAGATTGGATGCTAGAAGCCAAACCTGGGTCCTCTGCAAAAGCAGCCTCCGCACCATCTCCCCAGCCCCTGAGTATGTTTTCTACAGAAAAGAGACAATTAATACCTTGAATATATTGAACCTATTCACAAAAGCCCAAGATTTGTACCTTGGTTGTGTATCCCATATGCGTTAAAAATCGAGGGCAGAGGGAGGTTCACTTAACTTGAGACTTTTATTTCCTCTGTACATAAAGTAATACAAAACTGCTGTACAGTGAGGGCCTTTTGATATTTATTTTCAGAATTGTACCACATAAACTTTGACATGCTTCTGTAGTCTAAAGCAACTGTCCTTCAGGGATGTCCTGGTGAGTCGCCTGTCCTCTCCTTGAGCACCAGGCTCCAATTTTAAAAACACTTAACTTATTGATTTTATTTGACGTGTATGAGTCTTTTGCCTGTATGTATATACGTGTAGTACATGGGTATTGTGCCTGTGGAGAGTGGAGTTATGGATGGTTGTGAGCTGCCATGAGGGTGCTGGAAACTGAACCCAGGTCCTCTGCAAGAGCAGCCAGTGCTCCTGACTGCTGAGCCATCTCTCAGCCCCAGGTTCCATTTCTTTTATAGATGGTGGAGCACCCGGTCCTTTATAACACACGTAACGTCCTTTTTGTCTCCATCATTCACTTTAAACAAACGCCTTTAGCTATTTCTTAAACTCACAGAATCTTCTTTAAAACTGCCTTTTGCAAAATTAATTTCTTAGAGTGTCATTTGAGTCTTTATTTTGGCATTTCTGACTCCTACTTTTTAGACTCTATTATGCTGGGATTATGTGTTTCTCTAGTTTTTCTTGCAATGGTTCATCTTTGAGAAGTGAACAGCTGAGCTGCATATAAAGACGCCGGGGCCCTGCTTCAGGGTGATGGCAGGTTAGACCCTTGGCTCTGGGTGACTTTGCAGACTCTAGTCTGACAACTGCCTTCTGTCCACACAGCCCGTTTGTTTGTGTATTTTCAGTGTGAATGGAACATGGCTCAACTGGTTTTCATCACCATAGTTCCAAACATATAAATACACAAACATGACCCAGGACGTGGACATCTCCTTGAGTGAAAGGTTACAGTGTCCATGTGAACATGGTGACAAGGCGTTTCCTTCAGTCACTCAGCTGTTACCAGGCACAGAGGTGGTGACTTGACAATCCCGATGGGGAAGCTGGTCTTTCCCTGGGGACAATAGGCTGCTCGGATGTTGGAGTTTCTCCTCCAACTTAACTCTGAAGGATCTTGCCCACTCTTAGAGACGGGGAGGTACAGAGAGATAAGAGGCAGCGAGGGACAGGGAGTCTGGATTCTAAATAATAGTGACTGTTTCTTGGCTGCCTACTTGGCTTCTCTTGGGGGAGGTCTCTTGTCTGCCACACATCATTTCTCTCCTACATAGAGGATAGTGTGGCCTTTTCCATGCTGGACGTGAGGGAAGCACACAGCCTAGAATCTGTGACTTGCCCAAAGTTATATTAAGTGTGGTGACCAGTCCTGAAGCTACCTCAAACCCACGCACTTTTAGGCCAGGGAGAAGGCTCGGTTGATAAAGTGCTTTGCTCTGTAAGCATGAGGACATGCGTTTGATCCCACCCTAAAAAGATGGGTGTGGTGGTACATGCGTGGAATCCCAGCACTGGGGAATCAGAGAGTCTGACTCACTGGCTGGCCAGCCTAGCTGAATCCATGAGCTCCAGGCCATCAAGAGACAAAATGCAGGATGAACACTCCTGAAGACTGGTTCTGAGGTTGTCTTTTGGCCCTCATAGGTGCACGTGTGCATGGGCACACACACACACACACACACACACACACACACACACACGCACACCATTCACTCTTTTTTACATGATAGCTTGTTCTTGTGAAATTAGAACCCTAAAATTATGGGCAACATGTCTGTTCCTTTAAAGTCTGTATGAGTTCAGTAGTTAGCATGTATGTCTACTCTGTGAGGCTGTGTGATGTGACTGATAAACAGATATGCATCCCTTTGGAAAGATGGCGGCCTGGTTCTCCCATCGTGGGGCAGGTGGACGGGCCTGTGTCAGGGTTAGCTGTAGCCGAGGTGCCCTCAGGGTCACATCCCTGTGGAGCTCAGCCCTCCTGGTGAGGGTCACCATGGTGATCTGTCCTCATGTTTTCTTCTTTGTGTTTTCTCTCCTCAGATCTAGATACTGATGACGATCTAAATAGCGACGATTACGAGTACGAAGATGAAGCCAAACTTGTTATATTCCCAGACCACTATGAAATAGCCCTTCCAAATATTGAGGAGCTACCAGCCCTGGTCAGTGAGTGTGCGTGTGGCTCTGTGTCAGGTGTGTGTGGTCGGGGAAGGCTGGTGGAAAGGAAGAAGAATGAACAAATTGTGGGCATGGTGGTGCCCACCTGCGACCCCAGCATTAAAGGAAGCTGAGGCAGAAAGATGGTGGGATTGAGTCCAGTCTGGGCTACATAGTGAGACTTGTCTCAAAACATCAAAATAAATGAAAAGAAGAATCTGAGCATTTCTGTCCTGTCCAAGGTACCATAGGGTGGGCAGCCTTTCTGCACCACTAGGCCGCACTCTCCTCTGTCTGTTGCTGGGCGTTTCACAGCATGCCCCTAACATGTGCGGGGGGAGCTGGAGTGGGACTGTCTCCCAGCAGAGGGATGACGCTGATTTTTCAGGCTTCCCATGCTGTCCTCCCCTCTGAGATTTTGTTTGGGAAACGAAGTCCCTCCCACTGGAACGCAGCAGGACAGATATGAACAGAACCTGTGCTCTCAACCAGCCTGCTCACCAGTCAGTTTCCTGGAGGCCTAAGTTTTCTTGAAACTTCTGGGCACTGGAGTGGCAGAGGGGCCGGGGAGGGTGGCTGCATCCTTCAGTCCTGCAGTGAGCACAGTGCCCCTGCAGCCCTCCCTGTCCTTTGCTCTTTCTTACTTCCCGTGTTGCTCCAACATTCCCTCCTTTTCTCCCTGTGTGGGGATCCCTCCATTTCCTAGAGCCCAGTCCCAGGTGGCAGGTGGGTCACAGTGTAGACGTGTCAGCTCATGTTGTCCCTCCTCCAGTTCTTCCAGAACCAAAGCCAGGCCCGTGCATCCCAGAGCCTTCCCACAGTAGTGACTAGCCACAACCAGCTGCTCGGTCGCTGCTGCCGAAAGGGGACCTCTGTGCTGGGGTTTCCATGTTCTGAGGGACTAGGTTTCTACACGTAACCTGTTTTCTTCCGATTTACCGTGTATCTAAATTTAAGACCATAGAAACTAGAGTTCTGCGTCTTTGTCCACTGTGGCCTTCTGCGTGCTAAATATAAGGCATCCTTTTCCATATGAGGGCCTCAGTGCTCCGTGAAGCTTGAGGAGTTAAATTACGGTTTTCTCTGATTCCCTGTGTTGACTCATGACTGTTAAAGGAGTCAACTATATCAAAGGATAAAATAGTCTTACTCAAGCCCTTTCCCTGAAATTACATACTAAAGCTTATATATCTGTAGTATTGAGGTTCTTACTGCCCATGTTTGATATAATTCTGGCCTTTCTGTTGGAAAGATTTTTATGTGAAAAAGTAAATATTAATCAAAAGTCTCAAACCAGGTATAGTAGGTCATACCTGTAACCTACTGGGGAGGCTGAGGCAGGAACCTTACTAGGAATTAAAGGCTGGCTTGGGCTAAGATCCTGTCTCAAAACCACCCCCCACATATACACATACACACATGCACACACACACATTTATACACACCCAGGGCCTGTTAAAATACTCTGAATGAACAGAATAGTGGAAGGGTAGAAACTCTTATTTAAAAGGAAGTGCCCTAGAAACCTGTTTCCAGCAAGATGTATTATACTTTTTAATAATGGTCTTTTAGAATACTTTAAAATGAAAGTTTGAATAAAATTTGCTTTAAAGAAATGCTTTAGGTTAAATGGGGCTGGAGAGATGGCTCAGAGGTTAGAACACTGGCTGTTCTTCCAGAGGACCTGGGTTCAATTCCCAGCGCCCACTTGGTGGCTAGCAACCATCTGTAACTCCAGTTCCAGGGGAACCAATGCCCTCTTCTGACCTCTGTGGACATTGCAGGACATGAGTGTACTTACACACATGTAGGCAATACACTTATACACATAAAAATAAGTAAAATATTAAGAAAATGCTTTAAGAACAGAAAGCCCCTCAAGGTGGGAAGGTAGAAGGGAGCCTGGGTTGATTTACTTGATGGCTGCCGAAGGGCTTTAGCTGCACAAAAGATTCTAGTTCTTTACTTTCTTTTCAAGCTTTTGCCTCATTTTTAGCATTTGGTGATTCTCTTTTGAACTTTTAAATAAGAAAAACAGGTTGGTCTCAAAAACGTCCAGCAGGCAGTCCCCCTCACCCCAGGAGCGTCTCAGCACAGAATTTCATTTGAGTTATTCTGTGAGATACACAAGGGAGTCAGACCATCTCTGGGTGATGGGGTCACAGTAGGGATCTTAGAGCCTGAGCAGCTGGGAACAGGCTGCCCTGTGCTGATTGCCATGGCGTGCAGACCCCTTCATGGCTGACCACAGGCCAAGGAGACATCACTGAATGTGGTGTTGCTGCTTGGAATTTCCACCATTCAGCTAACACAGATGTAGACAACCTCAGGAGAACAGGGTAATGATGAGATACAGTAAAAAAGCTAGGAAATAATGGATTTTTGCCCATGTGACCTTGCAAAGGCACTTCAGTTTATGTAATTTAATTTTAATAATGGTGTGTTTAGCAACTGTCCAGGAAAATGTCTTAAAATTTTACTTTTTCAATTTACTTGTTATATAAAAGTGGACTGGAGAGATGGCTCAGCAGTTAAGAGCACATACTGTTCTTCTAGAGGACCTGAGTTTGGTTCCCAGCACCCGTGTCCAGCTCCATGGGATTTGAAACCTCTGGCCTCTGAGGGCATTGCACATTCTCTCTCTCTCTCTCTCTCTCTCTCTCTCTCTCTCCCCCCTCTCTCTCTTCTCTCTCTCTCCCCCTCCTTCCTTCCTTCCTTCCCTACACACACACACACACACACACACACACACACACACAACTTGGGCCTGGGATGTAGCTCAGTGATAGAGCTTACTGTGGTACTGTGGGTTTAATTCCCAGCATCAGCCGGGCATGGTGGTGCATGCCTTTAGTCCTAGTACTCTGGAGGTGGAGGCAGGTGAATCTCTGTGAGATCGAGGCCTACATGGTCTATCTAGCAAGTGCCAGGCCAGCTGGATCTGCAGGAAGACCCTGTCTAAAAATGACAACAACAAAAAATTCCCAGCATCAAAACTAAATAAACAGTTGTATGGATTAAAGAGTCACCAAGCAATGGTTTGACGCATGTGTATATTGTGTAATGGTTTTTGTTTTAGACAGGGTCTTGCCATGTAGCCTTGGCTAGCCCTTCAACTAGCAACCCTCCTGCCTCATGCTCTGGCAAGTACCCCTTTCTCTTCTGCCTCTCCAGGTTTATGTATTCTGGATAGCTTCACATAAGTGTGATTGTAAGATGTGGTTTATGTGATTACTTTTTAAAAATTTTTTTTAAATTATTATTTTTATTTTATGTGTTTGCATGTATTGCCTGCATGTAGGTAAGTGCACCCATGTCGTGCAATGCCTGAGGAGGTCAGAAGAGGCTGTCGGATCCCCTGGGACTGGAGTTACAGATAGTTGTCAGCTGCCATGTGGGTGCTGGGATTCGAACCTGGGTCTTCTGCAAGAACAACCAGTATCCTTAACCACTGAGCCATCTCTCCACCCCCTGATTGCTTTTCTTCATCCAGTGAACATTGTTAGGATTTACCACATCACAGCAAGTATTGGTGCTCCACCCCATTTTGTTACCAAGTGATACTGTTCCATCGTATGAACATGTCACGGTTGTTTTTCATTCCGTTTGTCACTGACAGGCCTCTGGGTTGCTTTCATGTTATTGCTAAAGTGCTGTTATGAATATCTCGACACATTTTCATAGAGTTGCATGTCTTCATGTCTCTTGGGCGTATCACTCGTTGTGGATGTGCTGGGTCCTGGGACAGTTCTGTCTAATCATGTCAAGAAGTGCTAAATTGCTTTATCAAAGTGGCTGCACCGTTACCGTTCCACCAGAAGCTAAGTTTTTATGGACAGCTAGCGGGAGCTCGTAGCACTGGGCATGTGGGCTGAGGGAGGCTGAGGACCTGTCACGTCCTGCTTGGCGTGCTCTTCTGGTCAGAGCACGCCAAGCAGGACAACACACGTTTGCTCATGAGCTGCTGACCTATTATGAGACATCCAGGCACGTCCTTGTCCAGGGTCACATTTGCACAGATGAAGAGGTGGAGCCGTGCCACCTACACCCACCCCAGTGCTCTGGACCAGGTGCCACCAGGAATTCGTTTCGGTCTCACCTGTAACCCTCTCCTCACCCTTTCACCCCACTTGGTAGGGAGTTTCGGTGTGAACACTAAGCTCGAGCCGACGAGCTGAATTTGCTTCGTTGCCATCTCGTGTCATGGTCAGTGCCCCGTGCCAGGGTCCAACCCAGCCAGGCCCAGGGGGAGTGCAGGAAGCCGGGCTCTGGCCTTGGTGGGAGTGGGGTTCCCCTGTTCTTCAGTTAACCTGTGTTAGGAATAAGCGTCCACATTCATTTCCGGAGGCGGGCTCCTCAGTGTTCCCCCTGGCTTTGCCTCACAGGTCACGATTGCTTGTGATGCGGTTCTCAGCTCCAAGTCCCCGTACAGAAAGCAGGACCCAGACACCTGGGAAAACGAGCTGCCGGTGTCGAGATACGCCAACAACCTGGCCCAGCTGGACAGTGGCGTGAGGATCCCCCCCAGGTGAGTCTGCGTGACACGAGCCTAGTCCTAAAGCCAGCCAGAGCAAGTCTTCTACCTCTTCTCTGAATTCGCGATTACACGTTTTCTCACCAGATGCCGTTTATTTAAAAAATCAGATAAAAACTGGAAATCATATTAAAGGACTTAGGTTTAAAATTATGTATGTTACACGCATACGTGTGTGTATGTTTGTGTGTGTGTGTGTGTGTGTGTGTGTGTGTGTCATGAAACTTGAAAGGGGATCACGATGTCAGGGAGACATAAAAATGGAGGTGCCAGCACACGTGACACGGAAGTGGAAGGAGCCGAAGGAGCTCAGAGGCCGTGGAGGACGAATTACAACAAAGTGCATTGCATAAAAATGGCATAACGAGACCCATTACTTTGGACACTAAAAACATTCATTTAAAGCTGGGCCTGGTGCTGCACGCCTTTAATCCCAGCACCCGGGAGGCAGAGGCAGGCGGATGTCTGTGAGTTCCAGGCCAGCCTGGTCCACAGAGTGAGTTCCAGGACAGCTGGGGCTACAGGGAGACCCTGTCTCAAAAAGACAAAAAACAGAACAAGTGAAAACCCATTAATTTAAAAAAGGAACAAAGCCCGCAGAAGAAAGGGTCAGAGCTCTGATGTCGCCTTTGTGGCAAGTGAGGCCTGCTCTCGGCCCCAAGCCCTTCTCTCAGCAACGCTGTACGTTGTACACGCGTGCAGCAGTGTTTGGGGACTTTCTCCACCTGGTGACACCTGCTGGGTGGTGCATGGGATGGTCAGACATGCCAGTTGAAGCCTGTTGTCCTGGAACTGCCTCTAGCCGGCAGTGCAGTGGGTGGAGCCACACCTAGCCTCCTGTCCCTCGGAGGACACCTGTTCCCTTGGTTCTCAGCAGGCCTGAGCCCGGGGCATCCGTGGTGGTCCCCTCCTCACTGCATATCCTGTCCTGGCTTCTGCCCGTGTCTGTCTCCCTGACTCCGCTGGGGCCACCTCATCTTCCACACATCCAGACCTTTGTCTCTGAGCTCATTCTAGGGAGTCCGACTTAAAACAGCGCTGGGTTGTCAGAATTTGGTGGAATGCTTCCCTGGGATTCAGAACCTGCTCCTCGGTGCCAGTGTGTTTATAAGGCAGGTCTCAGGGGGGAAGAGCAGCTGAGGCTTAGGAACGTGACCCAGGTCATTGCTCCATGACCTGCTGCGTCTCATGCTAGAGAGCAGTGTTAGCGAAGGCGTGCCACTTCTTGACCTTGTCTTCTGTCTTTGCAGAAATGGGGCTGGTGGTGCTGATGTTGAGCAGAACTTACTAGAATTAAATGACAGGACTTTCTGCAAGTCACTCTACACATAGCTGACATCTAACGCTCAGTTTCATTGATTTCTTTTCTCATTAATTATGTTTGTAGCATGTATAGTAGGGCACAAATAGCTGAGATAAATCCACTTATTAAGGGAAAAAGTTTGTCTTGGCCCCTGGGTTTGAAGGTGTCACTCATGGTTAGTGACCCCATTACTTTTGGTCAGTGGTGACACAGTACCTTATGGTGAGGGACATGTGGTGGAACAGGCTATTTAGCTCACGCTGGGGTGGGAGGAGGGAGGACCAGGGTCCAGGGTCCCTTTAGCGGTGCTTACCAATGAGCAGAAAACTTTCCCCTCAATCACGCCTTTATTTTTAAAAGTTCTGTTAGCACTTATTGATTATATTGATGAGACTCAGTGAGTTCAATTAGGGATGCTTACAGGAGCATGGGTGAGGGGTTATAACAGAAGCACAAGCTCCTCACCGGTCTACACCACTAAAGACAAGGTCTCTCCCTCCCCAGCAACATTAACTGCCTGTAAGTTCTCAGGGAGGGGTTGGGCCTCACAAGCCCCTTCCCAGTCCATGATGGGATGTTGACAGGCCCATTCTTGTGCAGGTAATCACAGTGACTGGGAGTTCAGGAGTGCAAAGGTCATGTCATGCCCAGAGGACAGTGTCCCAGTACTACTACTGCCCCTTCCCTGGCTCTTAGGACCTTTCTCTCCTCCTCTTCTGCAGTATTCCAAGTCACAGAGGGGGTGATATGGACGTGACATTTATGGCTGAGCCGGCAACAGCCTCTTATTCTCACACGCTGGGTCTCTGCGGTACCTGCCTCCCACTGTGGAGAGGTGTCTCTGACCAAGCTGGCTGCAGCAGTAATCTGTAAGCCTAAAGTAAATATTTAGACAAGTCGACAGGTGCATCATGTCCATCTAACAAAGCAAAACTGTCCTGCTAGGTCAGCGCCACCTCTTAAAGGCTCTGTCACTACTGTGACGCCAAGCTGGGGACCAAGGCGTTAACACACGGGTCTGCAAGGGAGGAGCCTGGACTGGGCTGTAGCATAGGTTTTATTTAAGCTGGGTTACCATGCGGGGTTACTGCTTTGGAATGGAGGTGTCTGTCCACTTGGGATCCTCCATGCTTGTACTTGTTGAAGTGTTACGGTCCCTCATGTGGGAGTTTTAAGGATCTGACTCCTCTTTACCTTTCATGACACTTGTCAGTTTCCTAAAGTAAAAGATCCGACTTGGTGATGAGGAGAGGAGCTGGTCCTTCTGGGAGGCGGGCAGGGTGGTCCTCTGCTCTGGATGGGCATGCAGTGACGTTCTGGACGCAAAATGTGGGAAGCACATCTGTTATTCTGCTGAGTTTCCTATGGCCCTTCAGTGTGAGTGGCTGCTGGTTCTAGATGTCAGTGTTCTTGTCATGCCCTGGCTGCTCTGTTCTGACCGCTCTTCTGTGACTTTGCAGTGGCTGGAAGTGCGCCAGGTGTGATCTCCGGGAGAACCTGTGGCTGAATCTGACTGATGGCTCTGTCCTGTGTGGGAAGTGGTTTTTTGACAGCTCAGGGGGCAATGGGCATGCGTTGGAGCATTACAGAGACACAGGCTACCCGCTGGCCGTGAAGCTGGGCACCATCACGCCTGACGGGGCAGGTGAGTGTGGCTTTACACAGTGGAACGACACACACTCATGGCTCACGTTTATCTCATGGTAGCCAAGCCCTGATTTTTGCCTCTTGTTAGCTGTGAGGTCTTGAGATTCTTTATCTTGGGGACACTGAAGGGATTTTTCTCGTGTTTATTCCAAGCATAATGCATTTAGCCCAGTGGCCCACAGTAAGGTATAGGGCTTAGCTGCTGTTTGTCTCATGGCTAAGCAGACACAAGCAGGATATACAATCTGGGAAGTAACACACAGAACTCAGTGTACTGTTAGGGTAGCAGGAGGCAGCCCTAGATGTCACTGTGGCCGTTAGTACATTTAGGGATGAATGATATTGTGGAGAAATCAGTTTTAGACAGTTCCCTGTGGGGCTGGAGAGATGGCTTAGATGAGCGAGCACCCACTGCCACACCTGACAGCTGGAGTTCAGTCTCTGGGACCATGTGGTGGAGAGAACAGACTCCCAAAAGTTGTCCTCTGACCTCTGTGTGTGCCCCGCCTGTGCATACATACACACGCACATGTACATACACACAATAAATACATAAAAATGTAAAAAAAAGATTTCTTACATTATCAGCCCCTGTATTGATGGCTTTCACGGTTTGAAGGTTGGAGCAGCTTCCTACCAGACCGGCCAGCTTTGGGATCAGGTCTGTTTCTCTCTTGCCCTCCCGGCCCTCACACCATCTGCTCTAAATGCTTAGCTTTGGCCACATTTCACACTTCATTCCCCCACCATTTGTGATGGAAAAGGTCAACAGCACCAGGTAAAGAATCCAAAACAACACAGCACTGGCCAAGTTCTTAGATCTTAGTTCTAAGATCTAAGCATCTTGGAAACATTGATTAAGCTCGGCTCCACACCAACAACCAGCCCGGCTTTGCCCCTTCTGCTGTGCTCTGTGTCTGCCTGTTTCTTCTCTGTTTAAGCTACGATGCTGGTTTTAGGAGGTGTCTGTCCTCTCCCTTTCCTCTTCAACGATTATCGGTGATGGAGTTGTCCTGCCTCAGTCTTTTCATTCGGTGGGTGCTCTCTACCTCTGTCTCTTGCTTCCTTCGTGAGCTGGCTCACTTTGTGATTCATTTTATGATTGAGCATTGGCAGTGAGGTCATGTTAGGATTATTTTGTTCACATTTTGGAGAATTTTCCTACTTCCAAATTTCATGGGATTGTTATTATTGGTTTTTGAGACACAGTCTCACTGTATCACTGACTGGTCTGGGACTCACTATGTAGTCCAGGCTGAACTTGAACCTATCATTCTCCTCCCCTAACTTCCCATCATGGAATTATTTTAACTCATTAGAGAAAAGTGGCTGCAAGGGTCCCAGTTGTCAGCACCAAACATTTTCCATCCAAGTAAACGACTCTCTATGTGAACCCAGTCTCACTCTGAGTGTTCCAGGATTTAAAGAGAAATTCAGGCCAGGGAGTTGAGGCTACAACCACTCTGCTAGGTCATGAGTAGGGTTGAGTACCTGATGTAAGGCCTTCTCTGTGCCCTTTAGGGTGTTACAGAAAGACTCGCAATGTAGGAATTTTTTTCAGGTAAAACTGCAGGAAGGATATTACATCTATACTTCCCTGTGTTCTGTGCTGTCTTGGGCATGTTTCTTATAGAAACATGAAAGAAATCCAGACTGTGATGGTCTGGATTTTTGACAGGATCCAGAATCACCCATGACATGTCTGTGAGCGAGTTTCTAGATGGAGTTAATTGAGGGAAGATGGGCCTTAAATGTGGTGGCAACTTCCCGTGGGTCCCAAACCACATAAAAAGGAGAAACTGAGCCAAGCATCGGCATTCATCCCTGCTTGCTTCCAGACTGTGGACCAATGTGACCAGCCACGTCACGGTCCTGCCACCACGCCTTGCCCACCATGACAGACTGAACCCTCAGACTGTGAGCCAAAGGAATCCCTTCCTCACTTTACTTTTCTGAGGTAACCAAAGCAACTCAAGGAAGGGAGGGTTTATTTTGGCTTATGTTCCAGAGGGATAAAGTCTGTCATGGAGGGGGAGGCACCGCACAGGTAGGAGCAGGGAGCAGAGGGATCATGTTTCCGTCAACATACAGGAAGCAGAAAAAGCGAGCTGGAAGTGGGCTTAGGCTATCAACGTGCAAATCCCACCCCCAGTCATGTGCTTCCTCCAGCAAGGCTCCACCTCCTAAAGGCTTCATGACCTCTCCAAACAGCACCACTAACTGGCATCAAGTGTTCAAATGGGGGACATTTCTCACTCAAGTCACTGCTCATCTTTGGATTCCAAACAAAAGATCAGGCATGTTAGACACAGAAAACTGGTATGTAAGTGTTTAAATAATTAGCTTTTATTGAAACTGGTCTGCCATGAAGGCACAGGCTAATTCTTGTCTGTGTATCTTAAAACTTTTTAGATTATTATTTATTTTTATTATTATTATTTTTTTTGTGTGTGTGTGTATGTGTGTCAGGTATGGAGGTTGGAGGACAGCTTGCAAGAGTAGGTTCTCTCTTTCTACCATGTGGGTTGTGGGAACTGAACTCAGGTCATCTTACTTAGCAGCAAGCATCTTTACCTACTGAGCCATGTCGCCAGCCCCCATCTTCTCTATGTATCTTTAATTTTCCAGATTCTTGTCTTTCATTTTGAGGCAAGTTTTATATTTTCCCCTCTATTACATAAGAAATCGATATTCAATGTAGCTAACATGCAGAATGTTGAAAAATTTAGACAAATAAATGTAAGTCACTTGGAGCACAACGTCTGAGCTAATCACGGTGGTCCATTTTGGTACTTGCTGTGAGCCTACCTTTGTCCAAGGCTCCGTCTTAATTCCACCCTATATTTTCATGAATCTTATGCTGTGTGAAGTCTGTGATGTTTCTTAAGCTTCCTGAGGAGAACTCCAGGTCACTGGGGCTTGCTTTGCGTTCTGAGCCCTTTTACATGTATTCAAATCTTTAGATGTTGACTTTATTTCAGATAAATTCCTAGAAAAAAAGTTGAATGTTAAAAATTTTCAGCTGCCAAGTTTTTCTTTTCTCCTTTGGAGTGTGTATGCATGCGTGCGTGCGTGCGTGCGTGTGTGTGTGTGTGTGTGTGTGTGTGTGTTATTGTGTGTGTGTGTGTGTGTGTGTGTGTGTGTGTAGGCCAGAGGTCAGCCTCGAATGTGGCTCCTCAGAGGTCATCGGCCTGTTTTTAAGGCAAGGTCTCTCACTGGCCTGGAGCTCCCAGATGAGGCTGCTGGCCAGTGAACCACAGGAATCTTCCTGTTTCCGCCCTTCTCAGAGGTGGGATTACAAATACCACCATACCTGTTTTTTTTTTTTTTTTTTTTTTTTTGTTTTTTTTTTGTGTTTTTGTGATTATTTTTTTTTTTTTTTTTTTTTTTTTTACGTGTTTTGAGGATCAAACTCAGGCCCTTATGCATGTGTGGCAAACACTTTACTGACTGAACCATCTCCTTAGCCCCCAAGTTTCTCTTTTAAAGTTGTCATAATGTAAATTTCCACTAGTAGTGTATTTCAACAAGTCCTGGATGTCTTTGGGCATCTGACATCTTATTTGAATTTGCTTTTCTAGTGAGGTCAAACATTTTTCATATTTATAATTAAGTTTTATATTCTTTATTTTTTGGCTTTCTGAGACAGGGTCTCCTATCCCTGGCTGGTCTTGAACTCCTGACCCTCCTGCCTCCAACTTTCCACTGCTGGGATCCCATGCACCAAACATCTAAATTTTCATTATATTCTTGGCAATTTGTAGTTTTGTTTTTTTTTCTGAAATTTTTAGACTGACCTTCTTTTTGAGACAAGATCTTGGTATGCATCTGTGAACTCACTCTATAGCCCAGGCAGGCCTTGACTTTGTGATCCTCCTGCCTTGACCTTATGAATATTGGGATTATAGATGTGAACCATCACACATAGCTTCTTAGGTTTTCTGGTCAGTCTATGTGTAGGTTTTCTTTTATTTGGTTTTATGAACTCTTTACTATTAAAAATATTAACTGTCACAGTTGTTAGGAAGGAGAACTATCTTTTTCTTTAGGAGGGAAAACTTTTGAGGTTGGTCTTTTGTCAGCTTTAGTTTGTTCATCCAGTGTCTAAAACTCTGGCTTCTACAGGTTGGTCCTGTACCCTGTGATGAGGTTTCCTGAATTCATACTTTGGAAAAAAGATCAGGTTTTGAATTCTCATGTGTGGCATTGGGTTTTAATAAAAGATGTTCATCTCGTTATTTCTGGCTAGTTCATAGATTGTATCAGTGCTCTTTTGCTTCCCTTAAATCTCTTTAATAGCTGTCTAGCTGCAACTTTGTTTGTTTAAAAGCCAAAAATGTTCACAAAAATGTGTGAAGTTTCCTTAAGGGTTCAGTGGGGAGCTTTGCAGATCTTGAGGCATGGAAGGCAAGGTGCCCTCTGTGTGGGGTTGAGGGTAGCAATTTGGGGTGGTTACTTCTGAGGTACTGAGGGGCTGAGGGATCCACCTTACTCCCTAGGTCCCTCAGGTTAATTCAGCTCACAAAAGACAGAGTCTCAAAGTGAGGCCATTTGTTTTCTAGGTCATAATGAGAGCCACCACTGCCAGTCTGTGGGCTGTTTATGTCAACTTGACCAGTACATTTTTTTCCCTGTGGGAGCTAAATTATATTTAGAAGATTGCTTAGTGGACACAGAATCCAAGAAGGCTGAGTATTCAAATATTCAATGGTGGCCTGACCCCCCCACCCTGGTTTCCTTTCCCAGGGTTGGTGTACCTGTTCCGTGAGAACCTCCTCAGTCTAGAGGGTCTCTACTTAGGGTTTCATTTTTCCCAAGAAGTCCTGATCTACCAGATTAGGCCAGGGTGATAGCATACATCATAAAAAATGGCCTTCGTATCCAGGTCCACTCTGGGTCCCCATGGTTACAGCAGCAAACAAAACAAGAGACACCACACAAACAAACAAAGCTTTCCTGTGTGGGAGGGACTTTGTTGTGGCCAGCTAGGTAGAGGTTCTGACAGACAGGGGATAAGGTGAGATGGAGGTGAAAGGGTGTATTAATTACTTTGTAGAAGCTGCTTGTTTACCTCCGAAGTACTTCTGTGCGTTGGGTGACTCGCAGGCCAGTGGACCTGCCCCACAGCGCCTCGCCTGGGCCTTTCTTCCTCCTTCTCACCCCTGACCTGGGCACAAGCTCCCATGAGTTTCTCGCAGACCAAGGGTATGGAATCAAGGCACTGATCACTGTGTTTGAGCTGTAACCTGGCTTGTGCCCTCTCGGTGTGATGGGAACACTTTATGCTGGTGCACTGTGGTCCTTTTTACAGGATCCTTGTTAGGTTGGCAGGGGTAACCTGGGACAGCAGGGCTTAGACACCATCTTTGTTGCACTCTGCTGTATCTCTAGTATCTTGCATAGTTCCCTACACATAGTAGGTGCTTAGTAAAGACTTGTGCAGTGAACAAAAAGGGAAAGGACACATCATTGCAACTTTGTATTGATGTCTTCGTATTGTATCTGTGTTTGTATTGATGGCTTTTAACCCATACCAGTTTCCCTTCCCTGACTATTGTAAATGTTTCAGCTGGCCTGGGGATGGTCATGCACTTTGCCTGTGTTCATGTTGTGTTTATTTTTCTAGTGCAATGCAGGAAGGTTGTTTTCTGCAGGTGGTGGTGGCGGACAGGCATGGTGAGAGGTATGGCTCTGTGGATAGGTTTGACCTTGCTCAGCCCTTTTCTGCTGCCCACCAGGACCTGGAGTTCTATCTCTTAAGTTGGGGGCCCAGCAGCAGTGATCCCTGGTTGCTTGTTTCTTTCTAAGCAGGAGAGGTTGCTGAGATGCATCTCTACTTCTCTGCTGTTTTGGGGGTTTGAGGAAAGAGCTTGGGCTATGCAAGTGAACCTTAGCTGAGGAGGTGCCTTTTGAAGTCCCTCATAGAGATCCCGAATTACTTCTAAGACCGTTTGAGATATTAAACTTTAAATTTATGGGGGCAGAGACCCTGTTTTCTTACTTACTTAGCCTTATCTTACTTAACGTTATATTTTTAGCGTGTATTTAGTTTTCAGTTATATTTGTTGGATATAATGAATGAATTAATGTACTAAGCAAGGTTGGCCAGTTGTACATAGATCCCAAGGCACACCATCTATGAGATTTATTTTAAATTGTGAGAATTACTTATAAACTTTTATTTTTTGAAACAGGGCCTCATGTAACCCAGACTGGTCTCAAACTCACTATGTAGCTGAGGATAACCCAGAATGCCTACGTTTACTCCTCCACCTCCTAAGTGCTAGGCTCCCAGGCATGTGCCACCAAGCTTGGTTTATGTGGTGCTGGGGATGGAACTCAAGGCTCTGTGAATGCTAGGCCAACATTCTACCAACTCAGCTCTACCTCTAGGTCATTGCTATTTTTTCAATTAGAACATTACAATAAGTAAGGGGAAATAGAAAAGGAAAATGAGTCTTTCTATTCAGGTAACAAATGACGTTTTTCACAGATTCCTCACACCCCAGTCAGTGTTCATTTCTGCTCATAACTTTTCTCCATTATTTTTAACTTCTTTTATGAGATGCCTACCACATGGGTGGGACATTCCTGCAATAAGTCTCATTCTTTATCGTTTCCGTGAATGGCTGCGTTGGGCTCTCTGGGTTTGTCATTCAACTGGAAGAGTGATAATTCACTTCTAAAATGAACACGGTTGCTCACTGGACATCCCCCCCTTGGACTTCATAGCCTTGGCTCCTGACTCAAGCTTTGGGCCCTGCTGGGGCATGTGGAGGGTCATCTTGCCACTACAGTTCCTGAGCTAAGACAAAGCTTTGCTAAGCTGAATTTGGAGATGAAATGAATTTCCCAGTGAAAACATAGAAGGCGGCCTCTTCTGCCCTGAGCCCACTCACAGCTACACGGATGATCCATCTCTTTACAGTTCTTCCTGATCACCAAGTATTAGGTTCAAGTTCATTTTAGTTCATTTTAGGTTTCTTGTCTGGTACTCCCTAAGTTGTTTTTGTCATTGATTTAAGAAATGACTGTCTGACTGAATCGTGCAGACGTTTATGGACATTTAACCCACTTGAGATAGGAAATATTACTTTAATGTAAGAATCACCTAATAAGTTAAGAATCACTGAAGACGGTGAAATTTTCACCTATTTCAGGATCCTGGGCAATGTCAATGGTGGGTGATTCTAATACTTTTATTATTTTCTCATAGGGATGTGTGTGCAGGAGACCTTAGAAGCCAGAAGAAGGTGGGAAATTCCCTGGAACCGGAGCTATAGGCAATTGTGAGCTGCCAGGTGCTGGGACCCGAACCCAGGTCCTCTGCAAGAGCATTCTGAAATGCTGAGCCATCTCTTCAGTACCTGGGATTGAAACCAGGGTCTCATACATGGCAGGCAAGCACTCTAACCCTGAAACCACATCCCTGGCCTTCAGTGGCTTTAAACCAGAGGTTTATTAAGTTGTAAGTTTTCAAAGCTGCCTCACTAGTTTAAGACAACTGAAGTTCCAGTGCCTCAGGAGCACCATCCTCACCTTGCAGCCAGTATTTGGAAACATTTTATTTCTTGTCACTGATTAAAAATGTTAGCATACTGGGGCTGGGGAGATGGCTCAGTGGTTAAGAGCACTGGCTGCTCTTGCAGAGGACCCAAGTTTGAATCCCAGCACCCACATGGTAGCTCACAATCATCCATAACTGCAGTTCCAGGGGATCTGACACCCTCTTCTGGTCTCTATGGGCATTGTATGACATGAGTGCACTTGCATGCATGCAGGCATAACACTAATACACATAAAATAAAAATTAAAAAATGTTAAAATGCTTTTTTCAGATTGTTCAAAGCCTTTTTATTTTGGTGTTTGAACTTTTTGTTGTTTCTGCTCTTTCTAGAATCTTTCCACTTTGTGGGTTTTGAAAGCCCTTCCTCTACTTCTGTCTTTGGGATAAAGCCTACTTTTCCTATTTGGAGTTCTGTGCCGTCTCACACAGAGGGTCTCTAGCCTGCCATTTTATCAGGAACTCTGGAAACTGTAATTGACTTTAGGATTTTGTCTTTTGTTTGTTCTTGGTAACACTTGAATTGTAGTGAAACAGATATCAATGAGGGTCACTATCCACAGAATAAAATGTGCCTATGGGGGAAGAATAGGAAGGGAAGCTCCACAGATAATGTTCGTTACAGGAAGACCAACTTCCTTTTGGGGGGCAGTGCGTCTCTACCTACCTCAGTGTAGGGTTACAGGGTCACCATAGCATCTGTATAATCCCTGTCCCTATCCTTCACAATGTTCTAAGGAATAGGAAGCTCCTTGGACAGTCTAAAGACCCTGAAGAATGGCATTTTTGTATCTATTTTTCTTGTACTTCATTTTCCAAATTTAGAAGGGAAGAAACTGTGATCTGTCTCCCCACTGGTCTTCCTCCTCTGATCCTCTTTCCCTCCTTCCCAACCTTAGAATTATGCCCTCCAAAGTTTTGTTTAAAAAGCCTAAGACTTAGGCATTTAAAGTTATTTTACCTTCAGGTGTTTTTTCCCCTTGCTTTAGAAAACTTGTTTTTCTTAACTTCCTGAGCTGTCAAGGAATTGATGTGTGTGTTTACCAAATACCCGTGTTTGCTGTTTATCATTTGCCGCCATCTCAGCTGGGTGTTGTGAAGTGTCACTGATGGCCCACTCCTGCCTCGTGTACTGGAGGCTCAGACAGGACATGCCTGAAGTCGAGGGACCATCATGATTACACATCTCAGTGCTGTTTCCTCCTCACCTAGATGTCTATTCTTTTCAAGAAGAGGAACCTGTTTTGGACCCTCAGTTGGCCAAACACTTAGCACATTTTGGAATTGATATGCTTCACATGCAGGGGGTGAGTAAATCTTTTGTCTCTAATTCTACATTGTGTTGGTGGGTGGGAGGGAATTGTTTAATAAAGAATTCTACAAATATTCTTTACTTAATGGATTTTGTTTTATTTTTTAAAAAATGTTTTATTATTTTTATTTTATGTGTGGGAGTCTATTTCCTGCAGGCAGGCAGGTGCTCCAGTATCATGCAATCCCTGTGGAGGTCAGAAGAGGATGTAGGACCCCCTGGTACTGGAGTTATGGACGAGTGTTAACTGCCATGTGGGTGCTGGGAATTGAACCCGAGTCACAGAGTAGCCAGTGTCTTAACCTCTGAGCCAGCCCGCTTGGATTTCTGCTTTAACTGCTCTATCTACTCCAGTTTAACTGATTAGCCTTTTCTTTTGGATAGCAGCTTAGGATTTTTTTTAACCTTCATCAAGTACTAGTCTATTTGGACTTGCAAACTTTTCTCTCCTTCGATGGGTAGTTGTCTAAATCGCTTTTTTTCACTAAATGGAGACGTATAAGGAGATGACCTTTCACACGATCTGTGGCCTCCATCACTTTAGTTAATTTCAGAAAGGGAAGTGGGGCCGCTGGGTGTGGACAGACGAGGCCTGATTCTGGCTCCAAGCTGCTGTCCTGACCGAGCGGCCCTTGAGGTCCTCAGTGCCGGGCTGTGCGCCTCTTCCTCCCGGAGCTCGTCTCCTGGCCTCACAGCCTTGCTCATGTCCCCGGTGCCCGGCTTCTCCGCCCTCCTTAGCCGGCGCCCGGCTTCTCGAGGCCGGGACCACAGGTGTCCACCACACCGGGTCTGGAGGACTGGGGTCGCCCGGGCTCCACGCCCCCCACGAGCCACGCCCCAGCCTTTGCGTCATTACTTCCTGTCAAATGCGTCCTGCCTTCTTCCTACCCTCCCCCCATCCCCTTTTTTGTTGAGACAGGGTCTCCCTGTACCCCAGCTGGCCTGGAACTCACTATGTAGACCAGGCTGGCTTTGAACTCACAGAGATCCGCCTGCCTCTGCCTCCCGAGTGCTGGGACTAAAGGTGTGCAGAGCCCAGGCTATCCCCCCCCCCTTTTTTTTTGTGACAGTGTCTATGCGGACCAGGCTGATGTGGACTCAGAGCTCTGCGTGCCTCTGCTTCTCAAGTGCTAGGATTGAAGGCATGCACCGCCGCATCCAGCCTTTACTCCCACTAAAGAAAAAACTTTCTCCTGTTTAAAAAAGTTGTGTTAGAAATATATAATATAAAGTTGTTCTTTTACCTAATTTCTAGTGTGCAGTTTTGTGACATTAACTACATTCACATCCTGTCCAACCGTGTCTCAATGTCTCCTAAGTAGAGGGTTCATTTTCTATGTAATTGGAGAGCATTATCAGTGAAAACCATTGCATTAGTAATAATTCATAAGCATATGTTTTGATTGGGAATCCCCCTGTAGCCACAGATGGCCTAGAACTCCCTAGACCAGGCAGGCCTTTGAACTCGTATGTGCGTGTGTGTGTGTGTGTGTGTGTGTGTGTGTGTGTGTGTGTGTGTGTGTGTGTGTTTTGGTCTTTTTGAGCAGGGTCTCCCTGTAGCCCCAGCTGTCCTGGAACTCACTATGTAGACCAGGCTGGCCTCGAACTCACAGAGATCCACCTGCCTCTGCCTCCCGAATGCTGGGATTAAAGGCCTGTGCCACCACACCCGGCTATTTTTGTTTTTAAAAATGGTGTTGTCTCAGACAGAGAACAGGCTCCAGGACAACGACATGAAGCCACGGATCAGTGAGTGGGAAGTGATCCAGGAGTCGGGGACGAAGCTGAAGCCCATGTATGGCCCCGGGTACACCGGCCTGAAGAACCTGGGTAACAGCTGCTACCTCAGCTCTGTCATGCAGGCCATCTTCAGCATCCCAGAGTTCCAGAGAGCGTAAGTGCCCGCTGCTGGGCTGCAGTGCCGCTGGTATGCTGTGTTCCCTTTGTGTTCCCTGGGTGTCCCTGTATGGCGGTGCTGTGACTTCCTACCCTGAGGCCTTGTGACAACAGTCGTCTGTTGCTGTGGAGCTGACGTGAGCTGAGGCATGCTGGAGACAGCAACACCGCTGGGGCTTTGCTGCCTTCACAATGACGTCTGCTTTTAGGCCGTACCCTCTGCCAAGAACCCGCCAGCCAGATCCTCTGGAAGGGCCAGGAGAGCCAGGGACCAGGGACCTGTGTGGTCTGCATGTCTCTAACAGGGGTGTGTGCAGACGATTTTAGATTTTTATTTTCACTGCTCAGAGTGTGGTTTTCAGGCTGGTGGAGTGCTGGGTGTGGGTCTGCAGTGAGTGTGAACACCGAGTGAGTACCTAGAGATCCTAGTATCAATCTTATATGTTGCATTTCATTTTTTTTTAATGATAGTTTTTTTTTTTTTGGTCTTTTTGAGACAGGGTCTCCCTGTAGCCCCAGCTGTCCTGGAACTCACTATATAGACCAGGCTGGCCTTGAACTCACAGAGATCCACCTGCCTCTGCCTCCAGAGTGCTGGGACTACAGGCATGTGCCACCATGCCCGGCTTCTTAATGATAGTTTTTTAAAGCTATCATCTGTCTGAGTTGAAGTTTGGCTTTTCGCTATTCCCTTGGCGGCCCTGATTTGGGGTGCTGCTTGGCTGTGCCGGGCCAGGGCTGCCATCTTCCCCCATGTGTCCCAGCACACAGTTGTCTGTGCTCCTCTTCTTCCTTGCCTTGTGCTTAGGATGGAAAAGCCTCATAGCTTAGGATTTTAGCTGGTCCACTCAGTGCAGGAAATGATCTCTAGTGTGGGTAGGCTTCCACATTGGTTTAAGGACATGTATGGAAGAGGACATGTGTGCCAAGACTGACTGGCATAGAACACGCTAGGAACAGCACAGGGCAGCTTTACCCACATGGAGTCGAAGGCCTCATGGGACTTCACTGAAGTGTCCCAGGTAGCGTCCTTTCCTCTTGGCATTTGTGTACTTAACGTTTCTTACTCTTTTCCAGCTTTGAAAATAATATTGTCAGTTTCCATCATCTTTCCCATTAAGAGTGAGCTGTGCTCTCTCTCTCTCTCTGTCTCTCTCTCTCTGGTTCAAGGGTGAACATAAGGGGGTGATATTTGGCCTGAGGGAACACACAAAGAGACAGACATTCAATAAATAGTCATGAGGACAACTACACAGTTATAAACGTGGCATAGTCCATGTAGGGAAAGGGAAGGAGGTGGTCAGAGAGGACCCTGTGCAGAGGGGTCGTACACACCACTCATGGCTCTGTGGGGAAGATGGGGCCGAGGGACAGCAAGCTTGACGTGGTGGGGACCCTTCTGAAGGCATGCTCCATGCATCATATTATTTTGATAAATTCTTACCCATATCTCTGACTTATCACTTGAGCAGGGACTAATACAAGTCCATCTTACATCATCGTCATCATGATCATCATCATTATTTGAGATGGAGTCTCATTTAGACCAGGCTGACCTCAAACTCCATAAGAGGCTAGTCTTAAAAATCATGATCCTCCTGCCTCAGTCTTCCAATTGCTAGGGTTACGTGTGGGTACCACCGTGCCTGGTTTTGTCTTCAGCTTTTCTTTAACTCTACATCCCTGGGTTGAATTCTTCCAGCTCCCATTTTCTTAGCTTAGTGAAGCTTGGTCCAGGGACAGTGTCTCTGTTTTGTAAATAGAAACAGTGTCTCACAGAAAGATTAAATTACTTTAAGAGCAGCTCGGAGGAACTCAGAAATGTGTCTCCTTGATGCCTGTCTGCCCCTTGAACCTAGTTTATATTTGATAAGAATTCTTAATGATCAGATCTCGATAAACTGATGTGAAAATTCAATAACAGATTGTCAGATTGCCAAACGACATTGTTTTCTTTGATGACCAGTAGATTACTGAAGGTATAATCTATTACACATTGCGGTTATGTATAATCTAGAACAAATACTAGCTACCATTCTGTATTTTAGGTTAACTTTTTTGTGATAGGTTATTCCTTAGCAATTAGAGGACATTTGCTGGTGAGTGGCCTTTGTCAACATCAAAGTCTTGTCCCCAGCGTTGCCTGAAGCAGACCTGTTAGCCAGGTTCATATTCCCGGTGTGTATTGTTGGGACAAATTTTGTGATGTGATAGACACTCTTGTCATGGGAAAGCTGGTATGCTCAGCATGGCTTTTATTTATTTATTTATTTATTTAATTCTATTACTTTTTTTTTTTTTGTCTTTTTGAGACAGGGTCTCTCTGTAGCCCCAGCTGTCCCAGAACTCATTATGTAGACCAGGCTGGCTTTGAACTCACAGAGATCCACCTGGCTCTGCCTCCCGAGTGCTGGGATTAAAGGTGTATGCCACCATGCCTGGCTTTAATTCTATTTTTAAAAAATATTTTATTATTCTTATTCTATTTTACCTGTATGAGTGTATTGTCTGCATGTATGTAAGTGCACCTGTGTGTCATTGCAGTGCCCCCAGAGATCAGAAGAAGGCATCAGATCCCCTGGAACTGGAGTTACAGATGATTGTTAGCTCTGGGTGCTGGGAACTGAACCCAGGTCCTTTGCAAGAGCACCACTGAGCCATCTCTCAAGTCCTGTTTTGTTTTTGAGACAGGGTCTCCCTGTACCCCAGCTGGCCTGGAACTCACTATGTAAACCAGGCTGGCTTTGAACTCACAGAGATCCGCCTGCCTCTGCCTCCTGAGTGCTGGGATTAAAGGTGTGCGCCACCACACCCAGCTTCTCATCAAGTTCTTATTCCAGGATTCATAACCTGGGCCACATGCATCTCACAGACTTCATCTGTGTCTGTATCTGAGTAGTTTTGCTCTGAGGCTTGGTTTTCCTGTTGTCTGCCAATCTGTCCCGGGAACATTTCTAGATGAAATTGTTGTCCTAGTGACACAGTCAGAGCCGTTTCTCAGGGACTGGCCCTCAGAGGCCTGGTCTTCTACCTTTGATGTGGGTATACAGTGTGGCATATAGATTGTGAGTCTGAGGACAGGAGGTTCCCAGAAGTGTCTGGAAGTTGGGGGATCTGAATAGAGTCTTTGCTAACTGTAGCATTTCGTGGTTCTCTGTTTGGGATTCATTGTAGTATTGTCTGTTAGTTTTCAGGACTGACAAAATGAAGGCTTATTTTGGCTCACGTGTTTGGAGGGTTCCAGTCCATGTTCAGTTGGTCCCATTGCTTTGGGGCTGCGCTGGGCAGTATGTGGTGACAGGAATGTGCAGTGGAGACCCACTTACCTCATGAGTGCTGTGAAGGTCGGGGAGGTCCCACTGTCTCCTCTGAAGGGGTTCCCCAGTGACCACATCTTCTGAATAGACCACACCTCTTGAAGTGCCATCACTTCCCAGTAGTGCCACAGACTGAGGCAGCAAGCCTTCAGCCATGCTCAGCCTTTGGGGGATGGATATCCAGAATGTGGAACACATTTCCTGTTTGCTTATTGGTAATCATTTGTGGAAATTGATGGCATGATTTTTCAATGCTGAAATGCAGCTCTTTTTTAAAAAAGGTTTAGTTTATTTTATGTGTATGTGTGTGTCTGAGTACATGTATGTGCATCACATGTACAGGCAGTTGTGGGCCACCATGTGGATGCTGGGAATTGAACGTGGGTCCTCTGGAAGAGCAGCAAGTCCTCTTAACCACGGAACCAGCTCTGCGGCCCGGGAATGCAGCTCTTCCTCAAAGGGAATAAGAGGCAACTGTTTACTGTTGAGTCACATGTGAGTGAGCATGTTCAAGGAACATAGGCTCAGGCCCTCCTGGAGGACGTGCTGCACTGTGATTAGTTACAGAATGAAAAGTCATAAATCCAGGCCTTTATGAAGCACATTGGTGCAGGTTACAGCAAATGGGGGAAATCCCTGCTGTAGGTATCAGTTACTGCGTGAGATTCTCAGCCTTGGGTTTGTGGAAGCTAGGGACTTGTTAGGAATACATTTTAAAGGTTTTGTTAGTTACAGGATGTTAGGTCAGACACACAGGTGGGTAATGAATAGCTTTCAAAGTACTAAAAATAGCTCAAGATAATTTATCTGGTCTGCCACATTTTAACTCTATAATCTCTTCAGGTTCAGTCTTTTGGTTTATAGATTCTTTGATACAAGTATAACTTTTCTTGTTCTCTGGAACCTTCAGTTTACAGGTGATAGAAGTACATTTGTTCAGCAGATGTGTACAGAATGCCTTTCCATGCCAGATGCTGCCGTTAGAGGAGATACAGCATAAAGTCTCGGTCTTCATGTAGATTGGATCCTCACATGTAACTCCCAGAGTCACATAAACAAGAATATGAATAAATCGTATACTTCCAGATATTGATGCAGGTTAAGAAGCTAAGAAGAAAGCCAGCCAGGGAGCTGGGAGTAGGTGGCCAGTCTTCCTTTGGATGAGTCAACAGGCCTGAGAGAGTCACTGAGCATCCAGGAAAGAGACTGCACCTGGCCTGGTCTTGAAGCAGAAATGAGCTCGGCTTGCCACAGGGCAGCGGGGGAGGCAGAGTCAGAGCATCATGGGCAGAGGGAGAGAGGTGACAGGTGAGCTCAGAGAAGCAGGCAGAGTTTGCTGCATGAGGCAGGAGGCTAGCCCGGGCTACATAGTACCACCATGTTTCAAAAAACCACAACGTAAAGAAGATGGTGTGAACAGTGCATGAGCCCTGGGAGTGGAAGGCGTGCCCATGAGTTAAGATTAGAGCGTGAACTGGGCTGTGAGTCCAGTGAAGACAAGTAGAGGTTTCTGACCAGGGGGCAGGGGAGGGTGGGGAGAGGGCGTCACGTGGGGAGACATAAGTTTTTGACCATACTCCGTCAAGAGGACAATTGTTGAAGGATGGAGACTTTCAATAAAGTGACAGAGCAGGATTATCACACAAAATACTGTCAGTAACCTTACCTGATTTGCTTGGAATAGGGTCTTACTATGTGGTGCAGGCTGGCCTTGAACTTGGAATGGGGTCTTACTATGTGGTGCAGGCTGGCCTTGAACTTGGAATAGGGTCTTACTATGTGGCGCAGGCTGGCCTTGAACTTGCGGTCCTCTTGCCCCAGCCTCCCATTTTCTGGATGCTGTTTGTTTTGGAGGCCATGATTGTGATGGCATGAAATAGTAGCTCTTGACTCTAGCAGTGTTAGAGAGATGTGGGGAAGTTTTGAATGAATTTTAACTCCTAAGCCTCAGTCTCTGATGAGGAAGTTTGCACATCTCATGGGTGTCTCTGTGGAAAGTTCTACAGAGACTCTAACCAGGGTGACACCCTTCGATGGAAGCTTCGTAATTTTGGGAAGGGCTGTAAGTCTGTTGTGGAGGGTCTTGGGGGCCTTTCCTTGGGCATGTGGTTGGATGATGGCAGAATAGAAAGTCTCACAAGAGCGACAGCTTGCTTTTCTTGTGTTTCTGTGTTGTGACTGTCTCTGTTGTCTCCTAGGTATGTAGGAAACCTTCCAAGAATATTTGACTACTCACCACTAGATCCAACGCAAGACTTCAACACACAGATGTAAGTGCCAGGTGCTTGTGTTTTATGTTTTCAGTGGGGTTTTCACAGTGGGTACTGCTGAGCTGCAGAGTTGAAGACGGTTCCTCCTTCTTCTTTACTTTCTGTGAGTCCAGTGTTCTAAAATGGGTATTTGTGAAGTTGGAGAGATTGCTTAGTGGTTAAGACCACTGGCTGCTCTTGCAGAGGACCCAGGTTCATTTCCCAACACCTACATGGCACTTAACAACCGTCCTTAATTCCAGTTCCAGGGTATCCAATACCCTCTTCTGGCCTCCACAGGAATTGCATGCATAGGTGCCCTTGCATACATGCAGGCAAAACACTCATACAGAAAATAAATAAAATAAAATGGTATGTGTTACCTTTATAAGAAGAAATTAATAAAGTTGTAAAGTACTGAGGAAACTTTGAAAGTGAAATCAGAACTGAGCAGCATCAAATCAGAAGTTACCTGGGAGGAATCCAGGTACAAAGTGGCCAAGCTTGTTGCTCACCTGTAATCTTTCTACCTCCGAGGGAAATAGCAGTGACCATTTTGTTTTGTGTCTCCCTTCTGTCCAGGACTAAGTTGGGACACGGCCTCCTCTCAGGCCAGTACTCAAAGCCACCCATGAAATCCGAGCTCATCGAGCAGGTGATGAAGGAGGAATACAAGGTATATGTCCCTGTGTGTCGGGGTGACACATAGGCAGGCAGGACTTGGGTCAGTGATGTAGCTCTTCTGTGTGTTAGCAAAAGGCAGCTGTACGTTCACTTAGCTCTTAGATAGTGGCTTCATTTCAGGGAGAGTGGGGCCTTGGGCCTGCGCTCCAACAAACTGCGGTAAGGAAAAGCCCACTGCCCACTGATTCGGCCACACACGGGGATATGTGTGCTCTCATTCATGGTCTTCATTAGACAGAGCTGAGAAAGAAGACAGGAAGCTTCAAGAGCAAACACATCCCCTCAGTCCTGCCCTTTTAGCCTTCCTTAAACTTCAGCTGAGCCCATTCCCCGTGTCCTTCCTTCCCTTTCTCCCTGTTTCTCTCCACTACCCCACCCCCGCCCCGCTCCCCAGAAGGGGTGCTATGTAGGTATGTAGGTCAGTGTTGCATGACTTTTCTTGTGGACATATGAACAAACTTCCCACCCTAGGTAGGGAAGCCACAAAGACCATCGTAATGATTCCACCTAAGTCTAGTTTGGTGAACCAGTGAGTTTACTGGGGAATATTTACAGGAATATGAATGAGGGGCTGCTTATAGGAGCATGGGGCACTTAGACAGTGACACACCAGAAAGCCCACCCCAGTCTGGTCACTGATGCAGGAATGCTGTATCTTTGGAGCTCCTTGTTCAACTTATAGGCAGCTCCAGAAAAGTCTCCTCTGCCTCAAGAATTGTTTATTGTTTATATAACCTTAGGGAGGGGCCTTGTGAATCCTGTGTCTTCCTGAGTCTTGTAAGTTTTGGGGGCTTTATAAGTCTTTTGAGTTAATGAGGGACTGTTTGAATTGGGAGACAATATCAACTACACAGCAAATGCCCAGGTTGGCCTTGAACTCTTGATCCTCCTGCTTCAGCCTCCAGGTTGTTTGGATTTCTCTAAAGGCTTTTGTCAAAGGGCAGCAGGTGGATTTCTCGGTTCCTCCCTTGGGGAGAGCTGGGATGTCCTTGCTAGGAGAGTGCTGGCTAGTTGTTGCTAATTGATGGAATAGTTGAAAATCAGGTTTAGGGTGCCTGGGGCTGCCCTTTCCTACCTGGGCTTCACTGTGCCCAGAGCCCAGGGTTGTCCTTGCAGCCTGCTCCCTTTGGACGGTACCTTTGGAACGCACAGTGCACAGCTTTCACGGCTGGATTCAGCAGGCCTGACTCTTATGGTGACCATCATCCTGAGTGGAACCCAAGCCCACTCTTCCAGCTCCTGATTTCTCTTCAGAGTACTCTGTCATCACTTAGTGGACAGGTCTTTTCGTGCTGGGTCTCAAGTGTTTGACCTCTGTGCCCTCCATGAGGTCAGCCATCCTTAACTAATGTAGCAGACTAAGAGCCCAGGTGCAAAGCTGGTTCATTCCTGTGTGTGTGAAGCCAGCTGCTGGTGGAAGTGGGCAAAGGGGAGAAGGAACGTGTGGATGGGGCATGGCCACCAGTGATTTGGGTGTGGACAAGAAATAGGTTGGGAAGAGGGTGGGGAGGGGAGCAGCCCCTCTGCTCTTGGGAGCCCGGGGTGGGGGGGTGGGCAGGGAGAGCTCAGCTTCCCTCAGCTTCCCAGGTTGCCCTGTTACTCAGCTCTGCAAGGTAACAACAGCTCTTAATCCACCAGAGCCTGGGGGACTGTCACTGGGGACCTGACGAAGGAGATGGTTTGGGCTGGTGGATGGGGCCACCCATGCTTCCACTCTGAGCTTCTGTGAAATTTTGAAGGGTGCCTGTGGATAAAAGAAAATTGTGCCTGGATCTTGTTTGTCCTGGGCTATTGTCCAGGCTTTGCCAGCCTTGCGTGCATTCCCCTGTCTGGTGGAGGAGGAGGTGAACTGGGAGTCAGAGCCTGGGTCCTGCAGAGCTCTGAATCGAGTGTTGTGACTGCAGGCAGGGCGTGGAACCACTGAACCTCAGCGTTCAGATGGCCGGATGGGTGGAGATGGGGAGCACTTTCAGGTATGGGCTTGCTAATGATGGTACATTTCGTGACTGTTGCTGTTTACATTTCGTGACCATTGCTTTTTTAAAAATATACTTTATTTTTATTTTATTTTATGTGTATGAGTGTATTGCCTGCATGTATGTAAGTGCACTCATGTTGTGCAGTACCCACAGAGGAGAGAAGACGGCATCGGATCCCCTGGAACTGAAGTTCCAGATGATTGTTAGCTGCCATGTGGATGCTGGGAATTGAACCTGGGTCCTCTGCAAGAGCAGCCAGTGCTCTAACTGCTGAGCATCTCTCGAGTCCCCCATTGCTGTGCTTTTAGAATCTCTCTATTTGAGAAAAGGTGAAAATCATCAATTTAGCAGTGTTTGGAAATAAAACTGAGTTTTGCTCCTGTTATGTCCTTGACCGTTGATGGAAAGGTTGTTCTTATGATCATACAGACAACTGCCTGCAGCCCTGTCTGCCCTCAGCACTGGTCCAGCAGCAGTTGTCAGTCCTTCTGGAGTCCCCAGGGGCCAGGAGGCGGGTGGAAACCCGTGCTCTGCCTGGCTGAGGTGTGGCTAGCAATGCTTGGGCCATTTTTGGCCTCAGAGTGTGTTTTGCTTGGCTTATGTGTAATGTCCAAGCTCCACCCCCTGTGGCAGCAACCCTGCTGTACACAGGAAGCCAGGATCTCCAGCTGGCTCCAGTCTCTGCGACTTGTCACCTCACTGCTGCTCCTGGTATTTGGGTCGGTGACCTTTGGTCTAGATGACTTGTAAACCCTTCCCTGACGTGCTGGTGGTCTGGAAGAAAGAACCCTGAGGGACTGGGGATGTAGCCCAGTTGGTAGAGTGTTTGCTAAACATGCATGAAACCCTGGGGTCCATCTCCATCACCACATAGACTGGGCATTTGGTGTAGGCATCTAAGCCTATCACTAAGGAGATGGAAGAAGGGAGATCAGAAATTCAAGTTCATCCTCTGCTACAGAGTGAGCTGAGGCCAACCCGGGCTACACAATACTCTGTCAAAACAAACAAAAAACCAAAAAGAAGTAAAAAGAAAAAAGAATCCTGAATATTTCTATGTGATTGGGTACTGTGTGCCCCTGTGTGACTGGGTACTGTGTGCCCCTGTGTGACTGGGTACTGTGTGCACCTGTGTGACTGTGTGATTGGGTACTGTATGCCCCTGTGTGACTGTGTGACTGGGTACTGTGTGCACCTGTGTGACTGTGTGATTGGGTACTGTATGCCCCTGTGTGACCCCCTGTGTGACTGTGTGTGACTGGGTACTGTGTGCCCCTGTGTGACTGTGTGACTGGGTACTGTGTGCCCCTGTGTGACTGTGTGTGACTGGGTACTGTGTGCCCCTGTGTGACTGTGTGTGACTGGGTACTGTGTGCCCCTGTGTGACTGTGTGTGACTGGGTACTGTGTGCCCCTGTGTGACTGTGTGACTGGGTACTGTATGCCCCTGTGTGACTGTGTGTGATTGGGTACTGTGTGCACCTGTTTTGGTACTGTGTGCCTTTGTGTGTCTGTGTGACTGGGTACTGTGTGCCTCTGTGTGACTGTGTGATTGGGTACTGTGTGCCCCTGTGTGACTGTGTGTGACTGGGTACTGTGTGCCCCTGTGTGACTGTGTGATTGGGTACTGTGTGCCCCTGTGTGACTGGGTACTGTATGCCCCTGTGTGACTGTGTGTGATTGGGTACTGTGTGCCCCCGTGGGACTGTGTGATTGGGTACTGTGTGCCCCCGTGGGCCTGTGTGATTGGGTACTCTGTGTCCCTGTGTGACTGAGTGATTGGGTACTGTGTGCCCCCGTGGGCCTGTGTGATTGGGTACTCTGTGTCCCTGTGTGACTGAGTGATTGGGTACTGTGTGCCCCCGTGGGCCTGTGTGATTGGGTACTCTGTGTCCCTGTGTGACTGAGTGATTGGGTACTGTGTGCCCCCGTGGGCCTGTGTGATTGGGTACTCTGTGTCCCTGTGTGACTGAGTGATTGGGTACTGTGTGCCCCCGTGGGCCTGTGTGATTGGGTACTCTGTGTCCCTGTGTGACTGAGTGATTGGGTACTGTGTGCCCCCGTGGGCCTGTGTGATTGGGTACTCTGTGTCCCTGTGTGACTGAGTGATTGGGTACTGTGTGCCCCCGTGGGCCTGTGTGATTGGGTACTCTGTGTCCCTGTGTGACTGAGTGATTGGGTACTGTGTGCCCCCGTGGGCCTGTGTGATTGGGTACTCTGTGTCCCTGTGTGACTGTGTGATTGGGTACTGTGTGCCCCCGTGGGCCTGTGTGATTGGGTACTCTGTGTCCCTGTGTGACTGTGTGATTGGGTACTGTGTGCCCCCGTGGGACTGTGTGATTGGGTACTCTGTGTCCCTATGGGACTGTGGGACTGGATACTGTGTGCCCCTATGGGACTGTGTGATTGGGTACTGTGTGCCCCCGTGGGACTGTGTGATTGGGTACTCTGTGTCCCTATGGGACTGTGTGACTGGATACTGTGTGCCCCTATGGGACTGTGTGATTGGGTACTGTGTGCACCTGTGTGACTGGGTACTGTGTGCTCCTGTGTGACTGTGTGATTGGGTACTCTGTATCTCTGTGTGACTGTGTGATTGGGTACTCTGTGTCCCTGCGTGACTATGGCTAGATGCAGTATGCCCCATATGTGACTGTGTGACTATGTACTATGGGGCACATATGTTACCATGAGACCAGATTCCATATGCCCCGTGTGTTACTGTGTGACTGGATACCGTGTGCCTTGTTTAACTGTGTGACTGGGTACCGTGTGCTCTATATGTTACTATGGGACTGGGTTCCATGTGCCCGTGTGTTACTGTGTGAATACACAGCTACTTCAAACATGTTATTTTCAGGAGAAGTAGGTTGCTAAGTCTCCAATTTTAAAATGGTTTGAAAGCATGGCGTTGCTTAATTTACGCTCAAGCGGTTTTGAACCTGGTTTTATAGAATCTCTGTGTGAACTGAACATTGTGGTGGTTGAGCATGAGGCTTGGCAGGAATCCCCCTGAAATCACATGTACAGTAGTCTGAGCCACATCATACACGGGTGGGGCCACCTGGTGATGAGGGCGTGGTGATGTGGCCGTGGGCCAGCATGGTGTGGTTGGTGGAGCTGCAGCTAACACGGTGAAACCCATTTGTGGAAGCCAACAGCTGGTCAAGGCGTGCCATGTCGCTGGTCAGGCGGCTCCTTCAAGTACCGTCTAAGTGCTCAGCAGTTCTCAAGTGGTAAGTTAACTGTTGAACAAAGGATTTAGAAAAGTCAGTTGAGGGAAAATACAGAAGGAAAAGTGTGCAGCAGAAATACATGCCATCGAGTCACGTTCCAGGCACGGGCGAGTTCTTGCTGCCTGCCTATCACAGTGTCCTCGAGTGAAATGTCTCCTTTCAGTTCTGACACACGGTGGCCAGGGACCAGCCAGTCCCTTCAGGATTTACTGACGTGTGGACTGCTCCAAGCTGCTGCTGTCTGAGGTCTGCGGCGGAGACTGATGTCACATACACCTCCAGTCGCAGGCTGTGTGCGCAGGCTTTTGTGAATGTGTGAGCAGAATGTGCACAGATGTGGACAGACATTCCCCGTGGTGCTGCCAGAGCAGCTGTCGGCATATGCAGGCTTGGGGGTGTGGGGGCTTCAGGAAGACGCACCCCGGGTCCAAGACAGCCGTCTTCTCTTTTTGCGCGGACTCTGCCACGGGAGCTTGGCGTGTGTATGCCAGAAACAGCAGTGGGACATCAGGGGAGAAACACGTCTGTCCCCCTGTCAAGGAGAGATGATCAGCATCACCTCACAGGTTGGAAGAGTTAAGCAGACATTAGGAACTGTGCTGACACGTGGTGTTTACCCACGCTCCTGGAACCGTATCAGCTGTTTAGTAGTGCTCCCTGTGCATTGAACGAACATGTCAACACCCGTCAGCCATTCTGCAGAAACAAGATGGCAGCCCACATAGTGAAGATATGCCCAGCATTGTGAGTGAAACTACAGCTTCTACATAGTTCCCAGATGGACAGGGAGTGAGGTTATTAGGTCAGATGTAAACTGCTTTTCTGTAGCCTTGAAAGTGCAGCTGAAGGCCCATGAACCGGCCGCGTGTGTACAGGATCCAGTCCGCCAATGGCCCAATACTGCCCCTCATCCCAGGACTCCTGGCCTTGTTTCAGGCTCTGCATGTTCCCTAACTTCTACTACAGGCACACGTACAAGTCCTGGATTCAGAGTCCTCCATAATGCTCTGCGTGAGCTTTACAGAAGTTCTTTCAGCAAATCAGGGAGATTCGTCAGATATGAATGGGAAACCGTTGCTTAGCACATGTCATGTATGTTGGACAGTCACTATATGCAGAGCTGACTTTTGACCTCAGGGGGATAGATGGAATTTCTTTATCACCTGTTCATTTGTGACTCCGAGATCCTTTGTGGACTCTAGACCATCCCACCTGCTAAGCTCTACAGCCAGGCTGGGGAGGTGGGGCAGAAGCTGACCAGAGAGTTCAAGAGAGAAGAGGGGCTAGAGAGGTGGCTCAGCAGTTAGGAGCCTGTAGCGCTCTTGCAGGGGACCCAGGTACAGTTCTCAGCAAGTGCATTGGGTGGCTCACACCTGCCTGTAACTCCAGCTGCAGCTGATGCCCTCTGACTCAGCAGGCACTGACACTCATGTGCATATACCGCCCCCCAAATAGATACGTAATTTTTTTTTAAAGAGCAGATGACAGCTTGTGCTGTGAGCTGACTGATGACCCAGACGGCAGGCGAAGTGGACGGCAGGCGAAGTGGACGTCAGGGAGGAGCGTGTTTTGGAATCCAGCAGGTGGAGGGCTTTTCAGAGCACGTTCCCAGCGGCCATGCTGTGTGTGAAGGAATCACTTCTCAGGCTGGGCTTTCCTGTGAGGATGGTCTCACTGTGACCCAGTGTGTGCTGGAGGCCCACTTCTTTGTTCTTGCTGGAGACAGACGAGTCCTAGGGTGACAGTGGAGCCGGGGTCCACTCTGTCTCAGCCTTCTCCTCTGCGTGGCAGTCTCATTGAGAACCGTGTGATTGGAAGAGCTGTCTGGCTCTTCTCTGCCTGTCTGGTTCCCTAAGTGGGAATGAGTGCACCACCTTCCTCCCTGGGTTTATGTATTGTTAAGGTAAAAAATAATGAACTTTCCAGGGGCCCCAGGGAAACAGTTCCCACCCGTCACCAAAGAAGGCATGGAATCTTTCCAATGATTTCCTTAGATTATCGGCATTACAGAGTTCATTCACATCAGTTCCGTGTTAAAGCTCCTTAGGGCGCAGGTCTTAACAGCAGCTGTGTGGAACGGTCAGTGTTGATAGTTTGCCTTTGCTGCTGTGATTGTGTATTTGCTGTGTGTGTCTGGCTTCCTCTTACCTCTCTACCCGCTTGATCTCCAGCATCTTTTCTCGTTGCTAGTGTGGTTTGGTGCCATCTTGGCCATTATGTGTCTTGTATCATGGTTGGCGTTTTTGTTGGGACACAGTGTTTTGCTAGAGATGTCATCCCACCTCAGGGACCTCTCATGGATCTTTCCTGCCTTACTGGCCTCTGTAACCTTCCATCCAGGTCATGCCCTGAGCCTCCTCCAGCAGGTGCTGGGTCCTTTCCTGGGGAGCACGGCTGCCTTAAGCTACCCTTCTACCCCTGGGGAAAACTCAACACCCTTGTCCTGCCAGCGGTCCCTCCCACACTGCCATCCGGCTGCCCCTTCCTTCTCCTGGCTCTGGCAACTCCCAGCATGCTGGTCACAGTGGTGCAGGGTGGGCTTGTGAGCAGAACCTCCTCAGAAGTTCACTGGCCCCATGGCTTTCTGTAAGTACCCCAACCATTCTGAGGCCCTCCCTCCTGTTCCCCCAGGGGAGCAGAGGGGAGATGCTACAGGAAGCACCACCTCTTACCTTCTGACAGAGAGTCCATCCTCCCTAGTCCATCTCCAGCCTACTCAGAAATGAGCTGTGTCAGGTCCCATGAGGATGGGCCCTGTGGCTGTTTAGAAAACAGAGCATTGGTCACCCATGCCTTTGGCTCCGAGTACACAGGGAGAGTCCCAGTATATGTGTATGCTTAGATACACAAGTGTGTGTGTGTGTGTGTGTGTGTGTGTGTGTGTTTGTGTGTAATCTTATGTATCCCAGGTTAGTCTTGAACTTGCTATGTAGCTAAGGATGACTTTGAACTTCTGCTATTCCTGCCTCCACCTCCAGAGTGCTGGGATTACAAGTGTGCCCCACCACACCTGCTTTATGCAGTGCTGGGGATGGAAGCCAGGCATTGTGCATGCTAGATGAACATTCTACTAACTGATAGCCCTGTTCGCACGTAAGGTTCATAGAGTGCCTGGTACATGCTAAGCACCCTTTGGTCCTTGCTTGTACCCTTGCATCTGAGGGGGCAGGGTTCATGGTTAGCATTGATCCACTTGTCTCTCAGGTCTGTGAATGTGTATGGAGGAGCTGTATGCTGATTGTATCTTTCTACTCCAGCCTCAGCAAAATGGGATCTCTCCACGCATGTTCAAAGCCTTTGTCAGCAAGAGTCACCCAGAATTCTCCTCCAACAGACAGCAAGATGCTCAGGAGTTTTTCTTGCACTTGGTGAATCTGGTGGAGGTGAGTCTTGGGAGCGCTGAGCAGGGCTGCCAGAAATGCACCAGCAGCTCTGGAGATGGCTTGACCAGAATGACCCCCACCTCATCCATGGGCATCTGGCTTCCAGACGCTGCCACGGTCTGTGTGGCTTTCACACTATGTGTGTTGGGAGTGTTTGGGGCTCTGGACAGAGCCCCTCCTGGGACTCATTGTCCCGTGACCACGCAGGTGATCACACCTTCTTGCAGCAGAATTGAATCACATGGGACACTGGGCTTTAGAGGACACAAGGACTTCCTGAGTAAAGCCTTTCACCCATGCCACCCCCGCC